ACGCAGCAGCACGTATGCATCCTCCTGCAGTTACGTTTGCTTCACCATCTGTCGGCCCTGCTGCTGCAGCAGCAGCAGAAGCAGCGGAAGCAGCAGCAGCAGCAGCGGAGGCCCCTGAGCGCATGCACCACAGGGCGGCGCAGCCCCTGCAGCAAGTCCCGCAGAAACCAGTCGGCTCCAGCTGCGCGGCTCAGCAGCAGCAGCAGCAGCAGCAGCAGCAAGAACAGCAGCAACAAGAGAAGCAGCAGCAGCAGCAGCAGCAGCAGCAATGCGGTATCTACAGCAGCAAACCAAGCAGATGCTCCTTTGCTCCTTCTCGCAGGGAACGTGCTGGCTGAGTCGCAGCCAGCAGACTCTCTAACACCTGCTGCTGCTTCTGCTGCTGCTGCTGCTGCTGCTGCACCTCTGCAGTTCCCACCGCAGCAACAGCAACAGCAGCAGCAGCAGCAGCAGCAGCGGCAGCAGGCAGCAAACCCACCGACAACCTCTAGATGTGCGCTGCATGAGCAGCAGCAAAAACGATATGATGAAAAGCTCTCACGAATGAAACTCCAGCTGCAGCAGCAGCAGCAACAGCTGCTGCTGCTGCAGCAGCAGCATCCGCAGCTGCAGCCTCCATGGGATAACAGCACTGCCCCTGCATCCACAACAGCAGCAGCTGCTGCTGCTGCAGCAGCAGCAGCTGCTGCTGCTGCAGAACCCCAGGTGTCTTCGCAGCTCCGCCCACCAACGAAGCTGCCAGCTGCAGCAGTTGAGGCAATCTCTGCGAGGTAAGGATAGCAGCAGCAGCAGCAGCAGCAGCAGCAGCAACAACAACAACAGCAGCAGCAGCAGCAACAGCAGCAGCAGCAGCAACAGCAGCAGCAGCAGCAACAGCAGCAGCAGCAGCAGGAAGCTTTGTTGCTGTTCACTGTGTACTCAGGCTGCACGGGAGAGCCAAGCAAATGACTGAGATGCGTCTGCTGCGGCAGCAGCTGCAGCAGCAGCAAGAGTTGCTGCAGCAACAGCAGCAGCAGCGCGACACCTTCGCCAGAGTTGCTGGCTGGTCAAGCAGCAGCAGCAGCAGCAGCAGCAGCAGCAGCAGCAGCAACAGCAGCAGAACTCGCAAGAAGACGCAGCAAACCAGTAGGAGGGTGCAGCCGCAGCACGAACGGGAGGTGTTGCAGAAGCTGCAGCACGACAAACTGCAGCAGCAGCAGCAGCAGCAGCAGCAGCAGCAACAACAAAAGCAGCAGCACAAAAAGATGGAGCAGCAGCAGATGCAGCAGCTGCAGCAAACGTCTATTCAAGAGCAGTCAGAGGCTGCTGCTGCAGTTCTTCCTGGCAGCAGCGAAGCCGAGATAGAGAAGCAGCAGCAGCAGCAGCACGAGCAGCAACAGCAGCAGCAGCAAGAGCAAGAACACCAGCAGCAGCAGCAGCAGCAGCAGCAGCAACAGCAGCAGCAGCATATTTTAAATGAGCCGCACCTTCCAGCTGCAGTAGAGGCAATAGGGGAGCCCTGCGTTGCTGCTTCTTCGTCTTCACAGCAGCAGCAGCAGCAGCAGCAACAGCAGCAGCAGCAGCAGCAGCAGCATCAATATGTATTTCGACATTACGAGCATCACCATCACCACGTGCATCGGCAGCAGCAGCGGCTGCAGCAGCAGCTGATCCAGCAGCAGCAGCAAGAGCTCTTTCAGCTGCGTCAAGAGGAGCGCAAGCACCAGCAAATGCTGCTGGAGCTGCAGCAGCAGCTGCTGCAGCACCAGAAGCTGCAGCAGCAGCTGCAGCAGCACCAGAAACACCAGAAACACCATCAGCTGCGACACAACCACAGGATGCAGCAGCTGCTAAAAGAGAACCAGGAGCTTCAAAAGCAGCTGCTGCTGCAGCAGCAGCAGCAGCAGCAGTTGCAGCAGCAGCAGCAGCAGCAGTTGCAGCAGCAGCAACTGCAGCAGCAGCAGCAGCAGCTGCAGCAGCAGGAGCAGCAGGAGCAGCAGGAGCAGACAGAACTTTTCGCCGAGATACCCCTCAAGCCAGCAGAAGGCAGCAGCCAGCATTCATACACCCAGCAGGACCCGCAGCAGCAGCAGCAGCAGCAGCAGTATCAGCAGCAACTCCAGCTGCAGGAGCAGTCTCTGCTGCTGCTGCTTCTGCTGCGGGGGCAAAGAGGAGCAGCAGCTTCTCCTTCGGCTGCAGCAGATCGTTCTC